AATAACAAATAGATAAATACAGTTGAAAATCAATAATATAAATTAAATGATGGCAAACGCGTTAGTAAAGTATCTGCTGTATAGCTGAATAGAATTATTAATTAATGCATAGCAAAATTTGCTCCATATACAGTAATATAATTTGATTTATAAAACCAGCCAATCACATTATTATCCTTATAAAATAAGCATATGAATGCTGTATAATAAAATCAATTTTAAAAAAGTGAATTTGAATTTACCCGGATACTATAAGCATGTGTTAAATGTCATTAAATAGTTACAAGCCTTTGTGAAAGTTACGAGCCCTAGAATGAGGTTTGAATCATCGAATGTTTATTATTATCTACTGTATACATGCCAAGTATACCGCAGTATATTTCAAGCTTCGCTATATTAGTGAGACGATGTATAATTCGATATTTTACTGATTACTTTAATTGTAAGACTTTTTTCAATAGAATGGATTGTCTAATACTTATTCCGTACGGAAATTCATAGCTAAGAATTTGTTGAATTAAAAATTATGAAAATTATGCCGGAATTTTGATTTATTCCAGTATTATCATTTTGTTTCTCAATAGTCCATTGTTAAGATTAGTTTTACTCATAATCTGATGTCAGAATTTCAAAAGATTTGAATCGATTTTTTGACCAATAAAAAAAAATATATTTCTATTACTGTTAGAGATATTAGTTAAGAAGATCGAAATTAAGAATTTTTAATCGAATTGCTAAGACCAGTGCGCAAGGTAAAAAAAGCAATCTATTTGGATTTTCTCTATATACTAGCACTTAATAAGACATTAATAATCCAAAAATTTACGTTTAGTTTGTATAAGTAATTACCCGGGTAATTGACCTACGTACAGTACGTACTGTACATCAGTTCACGAATGTCTTTCTATTAGTTTTTGGATCCGTTCAAAAAATCCGGTGGATTTTCTATTAGATATCCGTTCATATCGGATAACGAAAATATATTTGCAGATAGTCGAATATCTATTAAACTATCTGATACTTCAATTAATAATTATGATACATTAATATTTTGGCATGAATAAATGACATGCTTTTATACGTAATAATGGATAGTGACTAGCGAAACCCATAATTTATTAGCATTATTTTTCAGAATTATATTACAATGTATATGCGTTGATGATATTAATAAAATACATATTCTGATTGCGGCTAGCTTTTTTTTATAGTAAAATTCGTTAAGTTTGGCAAAAATTTTCTATTTAGATTGTTTGTTATAAAATGTTCATTAAATCTAGAATCGACATTTACAAGCGGATATCTAAAATTCGCAACTATCCGAAAAAATAGACTTAAATGGATAACTGTTATCCACCGGATCCAAGTTCTACTTTCTATGAATGGCTAGCGCATAGCATATGAGGGAAAATGGGATATTGGCTTATCATTTATTATTTAAAATAACGATAAACCAATTTCCCATTTTCCTTGGCTATTAGCATAATTCCTAGCAGATTGGCAAAAATCCGTGAAGAATAACCATAATCACGTTTGAATCGGATGAATTTGGAAATGTAGATAATTAATTAACATAAATTTACGAACACGTAAATATTTTTGGAATAAAAATTATTTGATTCTCATAATCTACATCTTTAGCATATTTCTAAAAAAGAATTGTCGATAGTTTTGAATTAATGGATTTGTAAAGCAGACAAATTCTGGGGCCTGTCAAAGGTGCCCTATTCTTTGCCAATCCAATAAAAGAATGACAAAAATAGGAATTATACAATCTGTACAATGAAAGCATTCAATTTCATGCTTTTTTCAAAGTTGGCTAAACCCGGCTTTAATTAAACTAAATGCATAGTCGGAATTTTTAGATATATTGTTTTTTTTTCGTTTGTTTGATGGCATAAATACGCCATATAATAACATACAATAATAATTTTATTACAATTTTATATATTATTCTTCTGAAATACTTTTCCGAAATTTAAATTACCATAAACAAGTCCCGGGTCTAATTCATTTTATCATTTTTATAAGATCTATAACTAGAGCCGTGGGTCTTTTGTGTAGGTTTATTGGTTTTTTTTTTCTATTTGTATACCCCGGGCCTATTACATTTTACCAAAGCTTTATCCCATGTTGTAGACCGGGTATGGAGATACGGCAATTTACGGTAATTACTTTATTCATTGTATATAATATATTAACCATGAACTAGTAATGTTCATTTCAATTAGTGCATAGTCTTGAAAAGATGAGCATACCATGCATTTAGGATTCCCGGTTTGTAATGCTGAATTTATTTCATTCAAAATAGTTGCCACATGAATATCAGACATTATAAATAAAAAAAACAATGCATGAATTTTTTATTATCGCGATCACAATTCACTGATAATGTTGATTGTGCGAGATTTTTTGATAAAATTTCAATACAAATAAATTGAGATTTCGAGCTTAAGGTTAAAAATGACGCTGAAATGGAGTCAAACGTTTGCCATTATGGAGAATGTATTGAATGTAGGAGCGCCAATAGTGGTTCTAATTGGTGTTCAAAATGCGAAATTGCATTTCTTCGGAATAATTTTCGCTTGTGGACAAGTGGCAATTTAAATATTGATAAACTTATTCAACAAACTCAACTTAGTGCTTTAAGAACTGTAGACTTCCTGGAATGGATACCTTTTGAAAACTTTGATCTCGTTAAATACCATGCAAGAGGCGCATTCAGTGTTGTTTACAGCAGCATCTGGTTAGAAGGTCCTAGATACATTTCTGACAATGAATCCCAAGATTGGATTAGAAATGGTCCAACAGCATGTGCATTAAAAAGAATTGAAAAGTCTCAATTTACGAGTAAAGAATATTTAGATAATGTAAGTATTTACCTTGTAAAATCTAGAGACTTCGCATTGGTGAAATTCGAAATCTAATTTCGACTTTCGCCAAAATAACGAAAATGACGAAACTAGTGAAAGATGCGAATATTTACTATCAAATTTATTTATTGTCCGGAGCGTAGCGAAGGACATATAATGGACGAGTAAAGTGCATCAAAAGTTACGATGTTGATGCATCATAGTGATAAAAATCAAGATCATAACTTTGAAAAGGATGTCTGTCCGCATACGGACTAAAGTTACGTTTTTGATGCATCAGAAGTTACGATGTTGATGCATCATAGTGATAAAAATCAATAACATAACTTTGTAAAGGATGTCTGTCCGCGCACGGACTAAAGTTACGTTTTTGATGCATGACTATATTCGATAATTTATTCGCTCCGGACTTCCAACAGTTTTTTAAAACTGTTCCCTAGTTTAACTTGTAAATACTGTCGCTTCTCTCTATACCGAACTGGCTATCCTGGTAATTTTTACTCGTAGAGTTTAAAAGACTCGATATAACAAATAATATTTGCTTACCGGTACATGGCGTGCCTGAGATTATTTATATGCTGTAAGTGGAAACGGATTCGGAATTTATATAAACAACCCCATTTTCGAGTATATGTATTACATATGACAAAATCAACCTAGTGTTACAAATCTGACCAATCCAAAAATTTTTTAAAAAATCGATTAAAAAATCGATTATAGCCAACTAATCGATTGATCGATTGGTTAATTAATCGATTAACTGACTAGTCGACTAGTTGGAATATCAAAATGGTTTGGATATAATTGAGTAGTCATTAATTACAAGATCAAAGTATGATATATACCATATAAAACAACCAGTCGATTAGTCAACTACGATTTAACTAACTAATCGATTAATCAGTTAATTGATTAATCGTCGACAATCGATTAGTTGTCTAATAAAATTATCAAACCAATTCGATTAATTAATCGATTAATCGATTTTCGATTTGGAACACTAATATGTATATATACACCCCTAACCTTAATTTAACTAAATTCCACTTACGACATATATAACTAACGGCGGTATTAGGAAGGTTAGGGTTTCGCGTTTTACCAGGGTCAGCTTCCGTTTCGTCGGGGTTTTCATCTTTTCCGATAGCAAAAAATTTTTTTAAAAATTCGCCTGTAATTGATCAATCAGAATATCATATCCTGTATTCTGATTGGTCTATCGAGGACGAAATCTCTTAAAAGCGCGATAATATCACGTGACAAAGTCTGGATACGCATTACCTAATTAATAATACATTTTTTTTTTTTAGATTCTAAAATATCATGAATGTTTTCGAAACGCGTCTTCAGTGGTTGACTGTTTTGGTATTACGAGTGATCCGACAGGTTGCTATATGTTCGTCACAAGATTTTATGAGTCTGGAAATTTACATCAATACCTTGCCAAGACGATGGGTTGCCTTTGTTGGAGAGACGTTGTTGATATGCTCTGGGGGATAGTTACCGGTGGCCTTGAACCAATTCATGAAAATGGTCTTTTCCATGGAAATCTTCATAGTGGTAATTTATTAGTCGAAGAACATCCTGAATCAATAAACGTAAAAATTTCTGACATTGGATTAAAGGGTCCTGCTGACGGTTCTACCTCCGGTATTTATGGCGTTTTGCCTTACATCGCACCTGAAGTGTTAAAGGGTAATAAATATACTCAGGAATGTGATATATATAGTTTTGGAATTATCATGTGGACTATGTCATCATTTATCCCTCCGTTTTGTCAAATTCCCCATGACATTGATCTTGCAACACGTATATGTAATGGTTTAAGACCTGATATCGTTGATGGTACTCCTGAAGTGTACATATCATTAATGGAAAGATGCTGGCATCAAGATCCGAGCAAACGACCCAAAGCCACTGAACTTAACGAAATTATAACTGCTTGGATGACTGCTATCAGCGACGATCCTGGTATTGTATATTCTCACTTTTTTTTTTTTTTTTCTTACAAAAACTTATAATTTCTAAAATTTATAAAGACCCTTCTCCAACTTCTGAGCAATTCGATATTGCCGAAGAAAAAAGATTTGCGGATTTAGTAAATAAAACTTTCCCCAAACCAAAATTCCATAATCAAGCAATATATACCAGCAGATTATTAAATTACAGCTCTCTCTGTGAGAACACCACTCAATAGGGACAATTATGCCTTAATGTTATTTAAAATTATTTTTAGACAATATGATATAGATTTATATATAGATATGAATTTTTTTTTTTTTAAACGACGAAATACGGTACTCATCGCAACGATATTAATTCAACGAAATGCGGCATTCGTAAATTCGTTCAAAACAAACAAACAAAAAAAAAAGACTTAATTTAAATTGTAAATATTTATATTCAATCCTGTTTCTCATAATGTGATATAAGAATAATTAATCATGATTTAATATGAGATTTTTAATATGTATTATATTTTCTGGCGTCTTTCTTTTACATGTTGCAATAAAATAATAAGAATAGATAAGCATTTTATGTATTTATAAATTTTTATAGTAATTAAATATTTTTATTCTAATTTTCGATGCTGCATATACATTAGTTATTCAAGTCAATGAATTTTTAAATTTTTATTGGTTAGCTAATGATTGTAAAATACTGAAATATTTAGTCTATATTATATACTGTATTAATCAGAGTATGTCATTGGACAATGTCCAAAAAAAAAAATTATAATAATTGAACATGTGTCAATAATTTTATTGGATAGATTCAATATATGTCAGGAACGAAGATGCATTCTGTACAAGTCTGTATTTTATTTGGACATTCTTTTTTACATGTATCCTATAATCATTTTATACTAATTATACACTATTTTACAATTTATACGTAGAACATTTAATCAAAAAAATTCAATTCAATATGTGAAAGCGGGTATTGTATCATACAGTATACATAATTTCAAGTATAAATTAGTAAATAAATATTTTTTAAGATGAATATCATAATGTGCAGTAATTATAAAAGAGAAAATTGATATCTTTTTTGTACTATTGAAAGTTACATATTAATGCCTAATACTGTAATAGAAAAACTTATCAAACTATTTGGTGTAACATCACTGCTGCATTAAACATGTCATTCGTCACATGAAAATATGCAGGAAAGTTTAAATAGATAGTTTTCGAATCATACAAAACTTTGGAAATCGAAACTGCCCTATCATCACAAATGTCAGAATATCTTCGGCTGAACTTTATAATTTAGTTGTCTAAGTTTTTTAAACATTTGAACAATGACATCTTAGGTATGACCAGTGTTTAAATTCAGTGTTCTCATGGTTCTCAAAGAACATACAATTTTTTTTAAGAACATTGAATTTAAAATAAGGTTCTCTTATTTGAGAACATTTTAAAGAATTAAAATGTTCTCAAAAAATATTTAATATAATTCAATCTAATAAATTAGTGCTCTGAAGGGTCATTTTGGTTGAGTTTAAAGTCAACTCGAGCAAAATAGGGATGTATTTTGATATCTATAGATGTATTGGATAATTCAGTTATTTAAAATTTTTTTTATAAAATTAATGCTACAATAATTATATAATTTAAATAATTTGAATAATTTGATTCAAGCTAGTGAAAGAGTCTTAAAGTTGGGTTTTTAATTTAGGCTATCCGAATTAATTCAACCCTTTAGGAGAACATTAAAAATTTTTTGAGAACACTAATAATTTAAATTAAGCTTTTTTGAGAACATAAATTTAAATTTGAATTTTAAACACTGGGTATGACTCAACTTTTTTGATGTTTAGAGACTACAAATCACTCTTACAGTGAACTCTCAATATAGCGAAGACTAATTAAAATCTCATATAGTGATGTTAGATCAAAGCCAATCTATGTAAAATTTTCCGACATAATGAATTTACTAATAAAACTCTCAATATAGTGAGTTTTTATTAATGGAGCCGATCACCTAGGGTTCTTACCCGGGTCGAATGACCCGTACGGGTTACTCGACCCGACGGGTCACGGGTCAAATTTTGGTCTACCCGGGTCAAACGGGTCAGA